AGAGGAGGAAGAAACAACAAAAAAGTGAACTATGGAGTGAGGAACTGAGAGTGGAGAGAGAGATTCAAATCAACGTGGAGAGTTTCAGAGGTTGATATAAAGGAAGTAAAGAAGGCATCACACAGACATGGAAAGAAGGAAGGAAGGAAGTTAGGACAGTAGCGTAGATAATAGTAGTATCAATGCATAACAGATTAAGTTTTCTTAATATACGTGGGAGTCAAATCTATTTTATTGTTAATTTAGCTTAGCACTCAGCACATGCCCGTATATACTCGTGCATGTTCGCTTGCTTCACATACGCACACGCAAAGGCACACACACACACACACACACACACACACACACACACACACACACACACACACACACACACACACACACACACACACACACTCACACACACACACAAAATACACACACACACACACACACACACACACACACACACACACACACACACACACACACACACACACACACACACACACACACACACACACACACACACACACACACACACACACACACAGGCATTCACTTGTGAAGGAGATCATAATAGTGGGAAGATGCTGTAGAGAGATGGTAATGAGAGGAAAGATAAAATGAATGATATTGAAATAGTGTTGAAAGGAATCATCTGGAAAGAGAGAGGAAAAAAGGAAGACAGTGATGACAATAGCTCCTTCACCGAAGAATCTATCAAAAATATCATATGCCATATAGAATACATTACTTTGGAAAAATAGTTCAGTACAAATTGCCGCAATGCTATTTCTATTCTCAAAGATCTGAAGTGTGCGCAGAGTAGCCAAGAGATTATTGGTGGTTCTCTTGATGATTAACATCGGGAGGCTGGATTTTGTTTGATTTTTTATACATTTTTTAGGAAAACCTGATACAGTCTCGTTACTTCTATTTAACTTTAATTATCAAACACAACTACGATTCTAAAAATATATCTGGGGAGAGGTCTAACAAATATTGGTGAGAGGGCGAGAAGAATAAAGTGTAATGTGGGGACTTATTCGGTCGTGCAAACCTGACAAGAGTTCAGCTTAGCGCAGTGATTGTCTGTCAGTAAGCTTCATTTATTTATCTTACTGGCATCATCTTTTGTGGTCGCAGTAACTTGCTTGAATTCCGAACTCCCTTTTTAAAAATTCCCTGTTATTCACTTGTGGGAATGAGTTCACAGATTAAAACTGACTTTTATGAGATTCACGGATAATCGTTGAATTCAGGAATCACTATGAAAGGATTCCTAATTTTGTTATAATATGCAAGATGCAAGACTTATTCATGGTGATAAAAGTCTTTGCAAGTACAAGATAGCGAAACATGAGATTCGGAATTCTCACTTTAACCACATAGTGAGAAGATATATGGGACTTGAGTAGGATATGTTTCTTTATTTTCTATGAGACGATGTTAGTTATCTTCGTTAACTTGCGGTTGGATACTTCCCCTGGCTCTCTTCCTCGTCTTCTTCGCGACTGTGGGCTGGGCGCACTTCATTACTCATCACGTTATTCATGCTTGTCTTATTCATCATAAAGTATTCACGGTTAAGTGTATACCCAGTCCCGGCCCCTTTGTGAGTGCTCTCATAGGGAAGAAAAAGAGGGTGAGGGGGCGTGGGGATGGAGGATGAAGAAGGCCTCTATGTAGGAAGTGGAGGAGGACCTTTGGGAGGAGGCGGCCTCGAGAGGGAGTGGGGGCCGGGGAAGAAGAAGGAGCTAACTGCTGGCGAACAAAGATGACCTCTTTACCTTTATATCGGGAAACCAGACAGGAAATGACTTATAGAAAGAAAACGAGTGGAATGTAGGCAAAGATAGAACAAATCGATAGAGAGTAAAAAGAACTACATAATTTCGACAATTATTATTTTTCTATTAGATCTGAGCTATTATGAATCGCGGGTGATCGATGAGAGATAATAAGAAAAGAAAAGAGAAGAAGAAGAAGAAGAAGAGGAAGAAGAAGACATATATATAAATATAAAAGACCGGTTGCAAAGCGTTCGGAGACAAAGTAAAAGGAAATCGAGTGAATGGGACGATTGATTTCAGATCGGAGACAAATGGTCTATTTACAAATAATCAAATGTTCATATACGGGATGTGACAAATAAACATTCGGGTAACTTTGCATCGAAATCTTGTAAAAATATTTGAGTGTTTGATTACAGACTACATAACTGTTCTACGGAACTTAAGGTAGAGTGCAAGCCACTGAGTGTGAATGTACAAGAGTACTTTAAACTTGATTCAGTGCCGGCCAACAAAAGGAAGAGCAGTAACGATATCAAGATCAAAGAATTGGAAATGTGAGCGTTCATTCTCCAAAGTATTAAATCATCGAAAGATTTCATCACCGACCGACCATGGAAATGCACTTGTTCCTAACAATACCAAAGTGAATGACAAAGGCCAGTACCAAGAACAGATTTTAAAAGGGATGAAATGACTTGGACCGGGCTTTACACAGGGCCCAG